GTTTAACGCCGCACTCAGCAATATTCAAGCTATATGACGGTGGTCTGTAAATAGTCGACTCTGGACCAGACAATCCGGTGATTGACATCATCATCCACGCTTTTGAGATACGATGACATGCATCAACCAAGTCAGCGGGCCTGACCACCCGATCGCGTTAGTCGCCTTTTACGACAAGCATGGGTTGCTAAACATCTATTCTACCCCGGATCTTCACGGGTCTGAAAAGATGTGAAACGTGGACACCAACGGCTGGAGCAGCAGGGGTCTGCTCGACATAAAGTGAAAGTTGACTATTAGAAAGTTGAAGTCAGCACTCTTGTCACCAGTCTTATCTAAAAATGAAACAGATGAGGCGGTCTCACCAGTCTCCTTATTTCTAGTTCAGGTGCTTGAAAGTTATTGAACGATATCATTGTTTGTTTGTTGTTTAACGTCGCACTCAGCAATATTCCAGCTATATGACGGCTGATCATCAGATGATCGATGAACTTAACATTTCTTGGCCGAATTGCCTTGTTTTGCCTTGGCCAATACGAGCAGTTAGTCCGATTCATATCCATAACGAAATACATCAGCAACAAGGGGAACACAATGGGTGCCCATGGCGACGCCTACTTCTTGCCGAAATGTCTTACCCCCAAATTATACATAGATGTTATCAATGAGATGGTTCAGCATTTTACATATTATTTTCTCGGAAAACTTCACATTTGTTTACATGTTTGACAAATTGCTTCGGACCTTTGAAGACGGACATGAAAGTATATCTATCGTCACCACTATTAGTGACAAATTGCCCTGAACCTTTGAAGACAGCCATGTAACTATATCTATCGTCACCACTGTTAGTGACAAATTGCCCTGAACCTTTGAAGACAGCCATGTAACTATATCTATCGTCACCACTGTTAGTGACAAATTGCCCTGAACCTGTGAAGACAGCCATGTAACTATATCTATCGTCACCACTGTCAGTGACAAATTGCCCTGAACCTGTGAAGACAGCCATGTAACTATATCTATCGTCACCACTGTTAGTGACAAATTGCCCTGAACCTTTGAAGACAGCCATGTAACTATATCTATCGTCACCACTGTTAGTGACAAATTGCCCTGAACCTTTGAAGACATCCATGAAACTATATCTATCGTCACCACTGTCAGTGACAAATTGCCCTGAATCTTTGAAGACAGCCATGTAACTATATCTATCGTCACCACTGTTAGTGACAAATTGCCCTGAACCTTTGAAGACAGCCATGTAACTATATCTATCGTCACCACTGTCAGTGACAAATTGCCCTGAACCTTTGAAGACAGCCATGTAACTATATCTATCGTCACCACTGTTAGTGACAAATTGCCCTGAACCTTTGAAGACAGCCATGTAACTATATCTATCGTCACCACTGTCAGTGACAAATTGCCCTGAACCTTTGAAGACAGCCATGTAACTATATCTATCGTCACCACTGTTAGTGACAAATTGCCCTGAACCTTTGCAGACAGCCATGTAACTATATCTATCGTCACCACTGTTAGTGACAAATTGCCCTGAACCTTTGAAGACAGCCATGTAACTATATCTATCGTCACCACTGTTAGTGACAAATTGCCCTGAACCTTTGAAGACAGCCATGTAACTATATCTATCGTCACCACTGTCAGTGACAAATTGCCCTGAACCTTTGAAGACAGCCATGTAACTATATCTATCGTCACCACTGTTAGTGACAAATTGCCCTGAACCTTTGAAGACAGCCATGTAACTATATCTATCGTCACCACTGTTAGTGACAAATTGCCCTGAACCTTTGAAGACAGCCATGTAACTATATCTATCGTCACCACTGTCAGTGACAAATTGCCCTGAACCTGTGAAGACAGCCATGTAACTATATCTATCGTCACCACTGTTAGTGACAAATTGCCCTGAACCTTTGAAGACAGCCATGTAACTATATCTATCGTCACCACTGTTAGTGACAAATTGCCCTGAACCTTTGAAGACATCCATGAAACTATATCTATCGTCACCACTGTCAGTGACAAATTGCCCTGAACCTGTGAAGACAGCCATGTAACTATATCTATCGTCACCACTGTTAGTGACAAATTGCCCTGAACCTTTGAAGACAGCCATGTAACTATATCTATTGTCAACACTGTTAGTGACAAATTGCCCTGAACCTTTGAAGACAGCCATGTAACTATATCTATCGTCACCACTGTTAGTGACAAATTGCCCTGAACCTTTGAAGACAGCCATGTAACTATATCTATCGTCACCACTGTTAGTGACAAATTGCCCTGAACCTTTGAAGACAGCCATGTAACTATATCTATCGTCACCACTGTTAGTGACAAATTGCCCTGAACCTTTGCAGACAGCCATGTAACTATATCTATCGTCACCACTGTTAGTGACAAATTGCCCTGAACCTTTGAAGACAGCCATGTAACTATATCTATCGTCACCACTGTTAGTGACAAATTGCCCTGAACCTTTGAAGACAGCCATGTAACTATATCTATCGTCACCACTGTCAGTGACAAATTGCCCTGAACCTTTGAAGACAGCCATGTAACTATATCTATCGTCACCACTGTTAGTGACAAATTGCCCTGAACCTTTGAAGACAGCCATGTAACTATATCTATCGTCACCACTGTTAGTGACAAATTGCCCTGAACCTTTGAAGACAGCCATGTAACTATATCTATCGTCACCACTGTCAGTGACAAATTGCCCTGAACCTGTGAAGACAGCCATGTAACTATATCTATCGTCACCACTGTTAGTGACAAATTGCCCTGAACCTTTGAAGACAGCCATGTAACTATATCTATCGTCACCACTGTTAGTGACAAATTGCCCTGAACCTTTGAAGACATCCATGAAACTATATCTATCGTCACCACTGTCAGTGACAAATTGCCCTGAACCTGTGAAGACAGCCATGTAACTATATCTATCGTCACCACTGTTAGTGACAAATTGCCCTGAACCTTTGAAGACAGCCATGTAACTATATCTATTGTCAACACTGTTAGTGACAAATTGCCCTGAACCTTTGAAGACAGCCATGTAACTATATCTATCGTCACCACTGTTAGTGACAAATTGCCCTGAACCTTTGAAGACAGCCATGTAACTATATCTATCGTCACCACTGTTAGTGACAAATTGCCCTGAACCTTTGAAGACAGCCATGTAACTATATCGATCGTCACCACTGTTAGTGACAAATTGCCCTGAACCTTTGAAGACAGCCATGTCACTATATCTATCGTCACCACTGTTAGTGACAAATTGCCCTGAACCTTTGAAGACAGCCATGTAACTATATCTATCGTCACCACTGTTAGTGACAAATTGCCCTGAACCTTTGAAGACAGCCATGTAACTATATCTATCGTCACCACTGTCAGTGACAAATTGCCCTGAACCTTTGAAGACAGCCATGTAACTATATCTATCGTCACCACTGTTAGTGACAAATTGCCCTGAACCTTTGAAGACAGCCATGTAACTATATCTATCGTCACCACTGTTAGTGACAAATTGCCCTGAACCTTTGAAGACAGCCATGTAACTATATCTATCGTCACCACTGTTAGTGACAAATTGCCCTGAACCTTTGAAGACAGCCATGTAACTATATCTATCGTCACCACTGTTAGTGACAAATTGCCCTGAACCTTTGAAGACAGCCATGTAACTATATCTATCGTCACCACTGTCAGTGACAAATTGCCCTGAACCTTTAAAGACAGCCATGTAACTATATCTATCGTCACCACTGTTAGTGACAAATTGCCCTGAACCTTTGAAGACAGCCATGTACCTATATCTATCGTCACCACTGTTAGTGACAAATTGCCCTGAACCTTTGAAGACAGCCATGTAACTATATCTATCGTCACCACTGTCAGTGACAAATTGCCCTGAATCTTTGAAGACAGCCATGTACACTATATCTATCGTCACCACTGTTAGTGACAAATTGCCCTGAACCTTTGAAGACAGCCATGTAACTATATCTATCGTCACCACTGTCAGTGACAAATTGCCCTGAACCTGTGAAGACAGCCATGTAACTATATCTATCGTCACCACTGTCACTGACAAATTGCCCTGAACCTTTGAAGACAGCCATGTAACTATATCTATCGTCACCACTGTTAGTGACAAATTGCCCTGAACCTTTGAAGACATCCATGAAACTATATCTATCGTCACCACTGTCAGTGACAAATTGCCCTGAATCTTTGAAGACAGCCATGTACACTATATCTATCGTCACCACTGTTAGTGACAAATTGCCCTGAACCTTTGAAGACAGCCATGTCACTATATCTATCGTCACCACTGTTAGTGACAAATTGCCCTGAACCTTTGAAGACAGCCATGTAACTATATCTATCGTCACCACTGTTAGTGACAAATTGCCCTGAACCTTTGAAGACAGCCATGTAACTATATCTATCGTCACCACTGTCAGTGACAAATTGCCCTGAACCTTTGAAGACAGCCATGTAACTATATCTATCGTCACCACTGTTAGTGACAAATTGCCCTGAACCTTTGAAGACATCCATGAAACTATATCTATCGTCACCACTGTCAGTGACAAATTGCCCTGAATCTTTGAAGACAGCCATGTACACTATATCTATCGTCACCACTGTCACTGACAAATTGCCCTGAACCTTTGAAGACAGCCATGTACACTATATCTATCGTCACCACTGTCACTGACAAATTGCCCTGAACCTTTGAAGACAGCCATGTAACTATATCTATGGCCATCCTTGTTAGTGACAAATGTCCCACGATAAAGGTATCAAGAATCAAGTATGATCATAATGTCATCGTGTGGTATAGCAGTAGAACAAAACTATTCATGTGTAGAGTTCTTATGAATATTGTGTCAGTTTTGTCGCTTTTATATATATATTTAATTCAAGAAGAAACTACAGCAGTTTTGTTACAGGTATTCCTTTAAGTTGTCGGTTACGGAACACTTCAAAAACAGGAAGCCTCATTCTGACGCCTTTTACGAGACCGGAAGTCTATGTACCGGATGTCGTCTCCCTGCTCAGCCATCTTCAGTGGACAACGATTACAGTGCTTCACGATACGGATTCAGGTTTCAACTTATTATTCCTATTTTATTTAGAAAATACATTTAAGCCGGATTTAGTTATCGGAGGAACATCCTTTAATCCCATATTTCGAACAGATATGAACTATCGTATGTTGGCCGATTATAAGTTTAACGATTTTCGTACGAACTGTTTAATATTTGGCAATGGTTTGCTTGAGAGTTTTAAATGTGTACGCGATCGTTACCATGGTGAAACCTCCTCATGATATACGACATCCAGCAAGCTGATGTTAACTAATGAACGTATGCTGTACTTCCAGAAGAATTAGTGGATGCCATACTATTTCTCGCTGTTGAGAAACTGCGCGGAGTTCGCTATCTCATCCATAACGTGGAACACATGATGGAAGTCATTTCTGATGTACACACCCTGCTCCAGAGTTTGCATGCCACCTTATTCCCCCGACCGTTCTTCCTCCTCATTGGTCGGCCTGCCTTCATCCTCGACACCATGTCCCTAGTAAGTCAGCACACTGTACATGCAAACAAATAAATGATTCCGAGGCATTTGATAAGCTAACTAATCAATATATTTTGCTTTATGTTTGCGAAAACACGCCCACTGTCGTTTTCTGATTGGCTGACTGCAGAATGGGCGGGGCTTGTGTTACATTATTGCACTGAACGATTTCGTACTGTTGTCAATATTTATTGGTAAATGAATAGATAAGCAGTCTGTGAAGTTAGTGTTGACGTATTTATTTATGAGAATACGCGAGATTTACACAGTGTGTACACAGTCGTTATGTTTATATCTCCACTATTACTAGCAGTAATATTCTTCTTATTGTTATACTAGCAGTAATATTCCTCTTATTGTTATGCTTTGTATAAATATGTGACAAAGGGTTACAAATTTGAAGAAATGTTGTCATGTACCAAATTTTACAAGCTTTACAAGTCTTTCAATAACGCCAGGTCAGTTCTCATGACGGCCAATCAAATCGCACAACCGACTATCGTCATCTATCAAGATGGCTGCTTGTCACCGACCTTGATCGTCAGTTCTTGGACAGCATGATAAACAACATGGGTGACCTGGAGAATGTGGCAGCCATATACAAATCAGACACAGTGTCATCAAGTGAGGTAAGATAAAATTGTACATTTTTTAAAACAATTATTCATCTTAAACGTAATACAACTGTGTTGCCTTACACATACATGATGTTGACTGGAACCTATACAATAAATGCATAACATTGAATCTTATAATTTAATAATCACACGTGGTTTTTCTGAAATATTATATTTAAATGCCAGTTTTATAATGTCACAAAGAACTGAATTTGATTTTTTTGTTTAACGCCGCACTCAGCAATATTCAGCTATATGACTTAATTATCAGTAAATGATCGAGTCTGGGCCAGACAAGCCAATAATTGACATCATGAGCATCGATCTACACACTACCACTAGTTAAATGTCACGTGGTGCACATCAGTGGAAGTATATTGCTACTAACAATCCACTACTAATACTAAGACTAACCTCTAACAATATCAACTAAACTACACACTAATCTCTACTCTGATACTACTAATTATATATCTAAGATCTAAGTCCAGCCATGCCTCTGCTGTTTCTTACCGCGGCGGTGACAAGCATGAGGCCACTGGCTGCAGGAAGGATATGAAGTGTGCAAACTGCGATGGGAACTTACATGGCCTCATCTAAATCCTACCATGAAGCTAAGAAGAGGATTGTAGGTCCTACTGCCAGACTGATCTGACATGGGTCAAGTCTGTTCAGCCTCTATCTACTTCTTCATTACAAAAACAAGCTGTGACACCTTCGTCTGTGACGCCTCCAAAACCAAAAACTGTAAAAAAATGTTGAGTCTCGGACTCCAAAACCAGTACCTGAACCAGAACCAGAAAGAAACTTATTGAAACAAAAGCAGTAAAAAAAGCAGCTGCAAACACCAACACCAACACTGAAGGCCAGCTCTCCTTTAGAGGTCCCAGTAGAGGTCCACAACTCCTTTGGTCCTCTGGACATGGAGGTAACTCCATCTCCACATGAAACAAATAAGAGTATCACAAAGTCTTCCTCACGTTCGTTTGACATATCTCCCGTGGAAGCACCATCATGAATCAACAAGACATAATACAAAAGAAATTGCAGTGGTCATAAGAAGAATATAAATGAAATACAACTTTTAATTCAATATTTTAAACCGTCAGCTTTTGTCTCCAAAAAACATACCTACAAAACACAGATCAATTTGATATCCGTCTGTACAGTTCCTACCACTTAGCTTGTGTTCACCTCCTGGCGGTTCTTCTGTCCTGGTGAAGCAGGGCATAATCCATAGCCCTGTTCCAATAAACACTAATCTTCAAACTTTTGCTGTCCATGTTACTTTGACCAAAGTGTTTACATCATGTTCACTGTATCTTCCACCTTGCTCAACTATCTGCCAATCACATATTCAGACTTTGTATGGTCAGCTCCCGAAGTCCTGCATAATCATGGGCGGTTTAAACGGTCCTCATCCCCTATGGGGGAGTACTGATACAAATAATAAGGGAAAAGTCCTTGAAGATTCTATCTCAAACAATGTATCTTCAATGATGGTTCTGACATCTATCTGCATCCTGCAACTGGTACAAACTCTACCCTTGATCTTTCACTGATTTAAATATTTTAAATGGATTTGAATGGTCGGTCCATTCTATCAATCCCGCTGACAAACCACCTTCAGCAAGGTGGAACTTGACAAAGGCAAATTGGTCTTTATTCCAAACATTATGTACAGAAAAATTAAGCCTGACAAGTTCAGGAATGTTCCTGATCCTCTTCAACTATTTTCAGATCAATTAAATGCCACTAGAGAAGAAAGCGTTCCCAATTCATCTGCAAATCCTTATGTACGTAAACCATGTTACGATAATAATTGTAAACAAGCTTGAAAAACTAGGAAGAGAGCTGAGAAATATTTCCACCGACATCCTACGGTGCACAACCTGAATGATGTTAAAATGACAAGCGCAAGGCCAGACGTTCCTTTAAACAAAATAAACGTCAATCCCGGAGAAACTATGTATCTAAATCAATTCCCGCACACCGATGTCCAAGGTGTGGAACATGATTCAAAAGATTAAGGACCAAGGATCAAAATCTGGAGTTCACCATCTCAAAGATGGTAATACACTAGTAACTACATCCGACATATCCAAATTTCAGAGGTTTAAAAAAACAGGAAAAGAAAAAAGTAAATTTTAACTCTGATAATAGTGAGGACAACAATGAAACATTTTCACTCTTCAATTGCATACTGCCCTTGGGCAAGCTCGTGACACTGCAGCAGGAGCAGACAACTACTGAACACTTACCTGATTCATGTTTGGAAACGCTACTTAATATATTGGATGAAATATGGATAACCGGAAATTACCCTTCTTCGTGGCACAATGCTATTATAATTACCAAATAAATACCAAAGCCAAGATGAGATCATACAGATCTACCCAATAACCGTTCAATATCATTAACAAGCTGTGTTTGTAAAACCATGGAGCGCATGGCCAACAATCGACTAGTCTGGTCTCAGTGTGGTTTCCGAAAAAACAGAAATTCTGATTACCATTTGGTGCGTTTAGAATCATTTATAAAAACATCATTGTCAACAAACAACATACTGTATCAATGTTTTCAACCTAGAGAAGGCATATGATACAACGCGGAAACATGGTATTTGCATGAATTTGGATTGAGGGGAAGATAACCTCAGCTCATTTTTGAATTTTTAAACAGCCAATTTGGAGTACGAGTAGGCTCTACCCTGTTTGATCATTTCGTAAAAGATCAGGGCGTCCCTCGAAGTCCTCGAGCATCCTATCTGTCACACGTCTTAGCATTAAAATTAATAGTCTCACAAAAGTCTTGAACAATAGTATTGATGGTTCAATTTATGTGAATGATTTCAACATTTCTTGTCGTGGTTAAAATATGCATACAATAGGAGGACAGCTACAGTGCTCCGTCTTAACAAAATTAAAAAAATGGGCAAACGAAAATATCTTCAAAGTTTCTAAATAAAAAACCCAAACTGCATTCATTTTTGTCGTAAATACCAACTGCATAAGGATCCAGATGTATTTTAGAAGGTACTCCTATCAAGGTAGTAGAGGAGGCCAAATTCCTGGGCCTCATACTTGATATCTAATATCTAAAGGCAAAGTGGCTGAAGGCTCTTGACTTGTTGAAAGTCGTTTCAAATACTGAGTGGGGAGGGGATCAGACAACCCTGCTTCGATTGTACAGATCGTTAATAAGCTCCAAGCTAGACTATGGCTCCATTGTCTAAGGTCGAGCCTGCAAAAGCAATTTAGAAAAAATAGACACAACACACCATCAAGGCTTAAAACTTAAAGGAACTCTCCCGTGAACGGTTTGTATGCGGAAGCTGATGAGAATTCCCTCGAACAACGCAACATTATACTATCACTGCAATACATCATTGACTTGCATTTAGATAATTCAAACCTATAATACATTTGTGTTTTCAACCTTCAATATGAAAACCTGTTTCGAAATTTGTCAAACCTGGTTCCACCTCTTTGAATCAGAATTCAACCACTCATCACCGCTGCTAAAACAGATCTAAATATCATATCACCTTACCGACTTCTGTCTTCTCCTCCCTGGCAGATGGTGAAGCCAGGGGTAGGCCTCACTCTAACCCAGCTCCAAAAGTCGGGTCCACATCCTTTGGATTATCAACAAGCATATAATCAAGTGCGAACAAAATTTAATTCTCACAAATCCATTTTTACAGACGGGTCCAAGGATGGTGGCAAAGTTGTAAGTGCCAACACCATTGGATCCAGTACTATCTCCTAAAGAATCCCAGATAATAGTTCAATCTCCACTGCTGAGGCCAAAGCTATCCTAACAGCTTTGAACCATATGAAACAAGACAACTAATCCAAACATTTCACCATCTTCTCAGATTCATTGTCCTGACTTCAGGCACTTAAATGTGTTTCCTCAACTCATCCCATTATCCTTGACATTTTTCGAACTTTTCAATGATCTTTCTACTGGCCAATGTGACATGGTCTTTTGCTGGTTACCAAGTCAAGTAGGCAAAGTAGGTAACTTAAAAGCCGTCAGTGTTTACGTCATTTCAAGAACATGGTCTCGCGAATAACGTATGAACGTCAAATCGTGCCAATTTCGCAATCATGTGACCAGCGTCGTCCAGGTGATATATGACCTGGTGGAGCCTAAGTGATATATGACCTGGTGGGGCCTATGTGATATATGACCTGGTGGGGCCTACGTGATATATGACCTGGTGGGGCCTATGTGATATATGACCTGGTGGGGCCTACGTGATATATGGCCTGGTGGTGCCTAAGTGATATATGACCTGGTGGGCCTGAGTGATATATGACCTGGTGGAGCCTAAGTGATATATGACCTGGTGGAGCCTAAGTGATATATGAACTCTATACAGCAAGTTGCACACCTGCGACCACTGATTTGGACAATGTAGCCACAAAATACATCGCTCCCAACCCTAGCAGTCTTTGTGTGAGAGTTAAAGAGTACAAGAGTACGTATGTACTTATATACATATCCTACCATAGTTGTGTATGTCGTCCTCATTACACACCACAAAGGGGGGCAACTCCGTATGTCGTAATGTCAGTCATGCTGTGTGTTATTGAAAGACAGTTTACATCCTGTCAGTGTAGTTAGTGACCATTTTTCCTTGCAGGTAGAAAATATACCGACCAATAACAGCATCAACATCATCACCTACTCCAGATCTTGTCCTCCGGATTTCATTAAGGTCAAAATAACGCCACCTGTAATCAAGGGGAGGCCACTCTTACATGCGGTCTACCCTAATACGAAATACGGGTACAACAACAGAACTTTAGTCGTGTCCACGCTGATGGTAAATATATCCTGTCGGTAAATATATCACGAACATTGTATACTGACATGGAGCTACTGCTCACATGATTCACTCACTCACTCACCTGCTCTCAAGTTTCACACTGTTACTCCAAGCTCTGATATTGTTTCACCCTGTTACTCCAAGCTCTGATAATGTTTAACCCTGTTACTCCAAGGTCTGATAATGTTTCACCCTGTTACTCCAAGCTCTGATAATGTTTCACCCTGTTACTCCAAGCTCTGATAATGTTTTACCCTGTTACTCCAAGCTCTGATAATGTTCCCCCCTGTTACTCCGAACTCTGATAATGTTTCACCCTGTTACTCCGAACTCTGATAATGTTTCACCCTGTTACTCCAAGCTCTGATATTGTTTCACCCTGTTACTCCAAGCTCTGATAATGTTTAACCCTGTTACTCCAAGCTCTGATAATGTTTTACCCTGTTACTCCAAGCTCTGATAATGTTTCACCCTGTTACTCCGAGCTCTGATAATGTTTTACCCTGTTACTCCAAGCTGTGATAATGTTTCACCCTGTTACACCGAGCTCTGATAATGTTTCACCCTGTTACTCCAAACTCTGATAATGATTCACCCTGTTACTCCAAGCTCTGATAATGTTTCACCCTGTTACTCCAAGCTCTGATAATGTTTCACCCTGTTACTCCGAGCTCTGATAATGTTTTACCCTGTTACTCCAAGCTCTGATAATGTTTCACCCTGTTACTCCGAGCTCTGATAATGTTTCACCCTGTTACTCCAAGCTCTGATAATGTTTTACCCTGTTACTCCAAGCTCTGATAATGTTTCACCCTGTTACTCCGAGCTCTGATAATGTTTTACCCTGTTACTCCAAGCTCTGATAATGTTTCACCCTGTTACTCCGAGCTCTGATTATGTTTTACCCTGTTACTCCAAGCTCTGATAATGTTTCACCCTGTTACTCCGATCTCTGATAATGTTTCACCCTGTTACTCCGAGCTCTGATAATGTTTTACATGTGCGGATCGTATATTTTCTATGTATGTAGACAAAGACTAAGGGATATTAATGCTCAATCCTGGCCTGATTCAATATTTCTGCCACAGGTTTTGGCTCATTATAGGGACGTTAAAGTATATCTGAGAAACTCTCCTCTACATCACTCATTTAGATGATGCTGTGTCTTTTTTAAAAATTAGAATTTGATTACAGTAAACTGCGGTTAAACAGAACACTCTTATAACGAACTAACTCATATAACGAACTGTCTTTTTTCCTCCCGGCATTTTGCTTTATACAAACTGTATACATGCTTACATATGTATACATATACATACGAACTACGGTTATAACGAACTAGAATTAGAGCACCATTTGAGTTCGTTATATCCGTAGTTTACTGTACATCCACGTCATGTGAATAATGGGGGAAATGTAACAGTAGATTGCTCCAATTCTGTAAGTACAATGTGTAAATGCATGCCACGTTATGTTCATATGCAAAAGTATTCAATGTTAAGATCAAAAAAGATTATTACTATTAGTAACCCACTCGTAATTGTTAATTTGTTCAATTCCAAAGATATTAATATCATGAGATGTGTTTGCCGTGTTACTTTAGCATGCATTCACTGTAAGATCAAAAGTGACAATAGCATGTTTAAACGTTAACTTGCACACTTGGTATTGATGCATGAACTTATTTTGTCATATTAAATTACTTACTTCAACATAAACCTGATTAATCATTACTAAACACGCTGCAACTGCTGCCCGAATCAGGCTGCAAAGTGTGACATGTTCAACTGTTGGCCAGGTGAGCTACAACGCCACGAGGCGTGCGTGTACAGCTCAGGGGAGCCCTGGCTTCCAATCTAACAATGGGTGCTACTTTCTCCACACTTGCAGTACGCTCCCTTTACCATGAGGAGACAAGACAGAGGACATGTCATCTATGAAGGATACTGTTTTGAAGTACTCAATGTTTTAGCCAAGGATCTGAATTTCAGGTTTGTATTGTTTGTTTGTTTGTTTGTTTAACGCCGCACTCAGCACTAAACGGTATATTACGGCGGTCTATAAATAATCGAGTCTGAACCCGATGATCCAGTGATTGACATCCTGAGCATCGATCTTAGCATTTGCGATACGATGACATGCATCAACCAAGTCAGCGAGCCTGAAAACCCGATCCCGTTAGTCGCCTCTTACCACAAGTATAGTCGCCTCTTACTACACGTATGGGTTCAATTTCAGGTAATACTTCAATCGAAAACATTTGATAGAAAACAAGATAGTATTACCAACTAATGTTGTGAGACAGTTTCTCTATTAGTTGATTACTCCATACCTGTATATTAAATGGAATTAGATTCCTGATTTAAGTCTTGAATCTTATGTTCTTCGTCGTCATTTGGCTGAAACATTGCTGATAAGACCTCAGTCGTACGTTCTGTGTATCCACAGCGCAGAATCAGATGATGAAGCCGTGTTAATAGCGAGGTGGTTGGCAGTAAGATGAGACTGGAGGGTTGTGTGTTCAGATTAGTCAATTCCTAGCTACGAGGTGTCTTGTTTTGCAGCGTCCAGCTTGTAGAGCCAGATGACGGTGAATGGGGCCTCCTTGTAGACGGCAAGTGGACGGGCTTGATTGGCCAACTAGAGCAGAGGGTAAGAGGACAGGAGGCGTGGAGAGGGGGTGGGGGATGAAAGTCGTAGTGTTTTGTTATTACGACAAAATACACTTAAAACCCTATGCACAAAAGCTTTTGTTAATAACTATCTTATTGAGGGAAATACTCCGTGTGTTGCTGATCTTTTATGCCATGTTTTAAAAGTTTGAAAAGTCACAGGTTAGCGCGAGGGTATTCAACGACAAGTAGACAGTTCAAACTTTTCCGCCAGAAAATAATCAGTCTCGAAGACCTGGCGAAACCAAATGTATTTGAGTGGCGGGTGCTACCAGCAGTACAGGACACCTGCTCCCCGAACATCTGGTGCCATCAAAGATCGATTCATAAGATTTTCACACATTTTTGCCCTTTGCGCCCAAAGAAATCTGTTCCGGGAAAATCTTCCAGACTGATTATTCCCTGTCGTTTAGTTTTGAATGTACAGTTCAGTCATTGCATGTACATACAATGTGTGTGATGTTGGTCTCCCCATCAGGACGTGGACATGGTGGTGGCGCCACTGACAATTCACGAGGACAGGGAAAGGGTCATGGATTTCCTCCTGCCACCGTTCTACACAGAAAATGTCGACATTTTGTACAAATTCGAAGACGTCAGCGAATCAGACATCTTTGTCACCATGAAACCCTTCAAGATTATGGTGCTGGTGTGCCTGGCTGCCGCCGTTGTCGTCGTCTTCATCTTCATCTTCTTCACGGAGCAGTGCTCCCAGTATCTGGCGCATGAGAGCAGGAACACGGACAAGCGGACACCAAAGTCACCCATTGTCCCACAATCTTCGACCTTGATGTCTTCATTTTACGCTGTCATCTGCTTTGGCGACGATCCAGTTGAAGAACTGCATTTGATCTTCTGGAGAGTGTTTGGATCTGTGTTTAAACAAGGTAGTGTGTGACATTTTTTGTGTGTCTGTTAGCCTTCCAAAAGGATTAAATTGCAAGACTCGAAACCACATGCTTATTGCAGTGAAAGGATATTGAAAAGATGACATTTGTGTTTTTGAAGGGTTACATTTGTCTTTTTTGAAGTGTTAGACTTCTTAAACTAAAAATGTTGGAGGCATAGCATAAAAGGGTAGATTGATAGGAGTCATTGAGAAGGAACACAGCCGCTGGAGTATGACAGCCATGGTAGATCCAGTGCTGCCATCACGACACTGCTCTGACTCGTCATTCCGCTGGGAAAGTTTTTCTCATCCTCGCCAAGATGGTTATCCACAAACTACAGTTCTTTATCTTCTCACTGAGATCTTACGTAAAAATTGTCAGCAATCAATTGATATCAAAGGTAATTTGCGACTTTCGCTTTGTTCAAAAGTGTCTTTGTCAACATGTAGACACTGTATACATTAAACGTGCCTTCAATTGATAAATAAATTGAACGTGATTACGTTGCATTTGATTGGCTCGCCAAGCATTTTATTTGCGTTTATGTAAAGTTCCAAACCGAAAAGATATTAGACAACGCCCACTAACGGACTACTGTTTTCCGATTGGCTGACAATAGAATGGGAGGGGCTTGTGTTGCATTATTGCGCTGAATATGTCGCTGACATCTTATAATTTTCTACAGATTTTGTGTGTTTTGATTAAATAAGCAGTCTGTAAAGTTAGTATTGTTGACGTGTTTATTTACAAGATTAGACTTCAATATGTCTTTTAATAACTCCGGTGTGCACACTTTGCGTAAATCTGCTACGTGTACTCAGCTGTGCGATCTTTTTTTACGATTATATTTCCATAAACGAAAGACATATTAAAGTTAATTCTTATTTAACCACACGAAACAACAATCGATTAAAATGTGTTAATAACACATATACATGAAGTGGTGCATTTATGTGCTAGTACTGTCATGCCACTCTCCTCCTTCCTCCACAATGCTGTCTAGTGTGTCGAGTCTTGCCACTCTCCTCCTTCCTCCACAATGCTGTCTAGTGTGTCGAGTCTTGCCACTCTCCTCCTTCCTCCACAATGCTGTCTAGTGTGTCGAGTCTTGCCACTCTCCTCCTTCCTCCACAATGCTGTCTAGTGTGTCGAGTCTTGCCACTCTCCTCCTTCCTCCACAATGCTGTCTAGTGTGTCGAGTATTGCCACTCCCCTCCTTCCTCCACAATACTGTCTAGTGTGTCGAGTATTGCCACTCCTCTCCTTCCTCCACAATGCTGTCTAGTGTGTCGAGTCTTGCCATTCTCCTCCTTCCTCCACAATACTGTCTAGTTTGTCGAGTCTTGCCACGCTCCTCCTTCCTCCACAATACTGTCTAGTGTGTCGAGTATTGCCACTCCCTTCCTTCCTCCACAATGCTGTCTAGTGTGTCGAGTATTGCCACTCTCCTCCTTCCTCCACATAATGATGGTGTAATTATAAGTACTAACTGTAAGGTTCCCCCGTTAGGCGACCCGTGGATCTCCCACACAACGCCAGGCCGCATCCTCATGACGTCTTGGTGGTTGCTGACGGTGGTGCTAGCGGCAGGATACAGCGCCTACCTCGTTGCAATCCTCGCCGTCGATATCCGCGTCAAGCCGTTTAGGACGTTGCAGGACGTCGTTGATTCCCCCGACTACACCATTGGCATTATGTCGACGGGTATCATCAAACTCATATTCGAGGTAATGCATTGTTCGCACTCGCCACTCAATCGGCCGTATAACAACTTTACAGTGTAAAGTCAAAGTAATGATACAAACAAAATATCTATGTAATTTTCAAGTGATCGCCTCCGTGGTGTGGTGGATTGAGCGTTTACTCGGAGAGCGGAAAGTTCGATCGATCCTATGGCAAGCCGTTTTCACATTTATTACAGAATTACAGATATCTTCAATTGTTTTAAAGATATCGGTATTTTATTTAGAGATATCAATAATGTTTTTAAGATATCAAAAAATAATTAAAGATATCTTATATTCATTTCTGATATCCATAATAAAATTACTGATATCTTAAAATGTTACGGTGATATCAGCAAATTAGTTTGTGATATCTCTAAATGTATTTAAGATATCATTAAACAATTACCATCCTGCAGTAAATAAATATATTAGAAAAAAATTCAAGATATCTTAAATTCAATTCAAGATATCTTGAAATAAGTTATACATATCCACAAATGCATTACAGATATCTTTAATTCAATTAGAGATATCTTAAATTCGATTAGAGATATCTTAAATTCAATTCAAGATATCATTATTTCTGACCGTTACTGATATCAAACATTCAATTAAAGATATCATTAATACTTTTGATGATATCTTTATATCAATTATTGATATCAGTTATCTAATTTAAGTAACATTATTAATGTTACATCTTTAATAATGGCAACAATTGAAGATATCAATAATTAATTATTGATATCTGTATTTAGTTTCAAGATATCAGGAATTGAATTAATGACATCATAACAAAACATGACATTTTGATATCTTTAAATCATATTTTGATATCAATAATCGAATTTAAGATATCAGCAATTCTTTTCAAGATATCTTCAATTCCATTCAAGATATCTTCAATTCATTTCAAGATATGTTTAAAACAATTGAAGATATCTTAAATTTTATTGCAGATATCTACAATTATCTGCATTTAAGATACCTTCAATTCCATTCAAGATATCTTCAATTCATTTCAAGATATCTTTAAAACAATTGAAGATATCTGTAATTCCGTAATAAATGTGAAAACGGCTTGCCATACGATCCCATAGTATGTGCACCAAAAGACGTTACATAATGTTGATCAAGGACTTGTCGGTTCGGAGTCAGTATGATGTGTCTGAGTAGGGTATCCATGAAAAACTGTCGCATGGCGTCATTGTGAACTTGTTCGGACGCGAGTACAAGCAGCCACGCACACACATGAATGCACTTGGCTATATGAGTGCAATGATCTTGAACGCGACGTTAAACACCAATTTACCTCATCTCACATAAAGTCTAACTTCACCTCTTTTAATAATCCTAAAATATTTTTAAAAAATTCACACACGTCGGGTCTTTCGTATGTGAGGGTGCGGGTTGGAGTGTGGGTGCGGGTGCGGGTGAGAGTGTGAGTGTGAGTGTGGGTGAGAGTGTGGGTGTGGGTGCGGGTGAGAGTGTGAGTGTGAGTGTGGGTGAGAGTGTGGGTGTGGGCGCAGGTGTGGGCGTAGATTAGGGTGTGGACGTGAGTGCGAGTTCGAGTGTGAGCGTGGGCGTGGACGGGCGTGGGCGTGGGCGTGGGCGTGGGCGTGGGCGTGGGCGTGTGGGATTGACCTGACACGTCTCACTGTTTACATCCTAAGTGGTCGATACATTTAAAACCATACAGTTACCTCACTAACCCTTCCCTGTGTATGGGAATGTTGGTTCGATTTATTTAACTTGAATCACCATGTAGTGCTACATATGTTATCAAAGGGGCGGTCTGGTAGCCTTGTGGTTAAAGCGTTCGCTCGTCACTCCGAAGAACCGGGTTCGATTCCCGACATGTGTACAATATGTGAAGCCCATTTCTGGTGTCCCAACGCCGTGATATTGCTGGAATGTTGATTAAAGCGGCGTAAAACCATACTCACTCACTCAAAGTTTCATTTTTTCTATATTGAATACTCCTGTACACTGTTTCATAATCTCATTGGTTTCTCTCCTTTGTTCCCAAAAAAACAAAAAAATGTTTTTTTAATGCTATCAACAAAACATTTAACGGCAAACAATTCGTTTTCAGAAATCGAACCAGGATGACTTCAAAGGGGCTTGGCAAAAGGTCGTGAATGCCAACAAGACTGATCCCCGAGTGTTGGCCGGGACTGAGTCTGAGCACCTACAGCACGTGCTTGGTGGCAAGTTCTGCTGGATCGTTGACGTCACCACCGCCGAGAAGGCGCAGGCAACCGACTGTGCCCTCGAGACTGTTGGGGTTAGACTGAATGGCCAGAATTTAGCTCTAGCTGCTCCGACAAACTCCCCCCTCAAACCAGCATTGGAGGACACGTAAGGGAGATTCTGTGTGTCTTGTATTGTTTGTTTGTTGTTTTACGCCGCACTCAGCAATAAGACGGCGGCCTGTAAATAATCGAGTCTGGACCAGACAAGCCAGTGGCTGACATCATGAGCATCGATCCACGCAACTCGGATCGATGACATGTATGAACCAAGTCAGCGAGCCTGACCATCCGATCCGGTCTTACGACAGGCATTGTCGCCTTTTACGGATCTTCACGGGAATTCTTGTGTTGTGTTATAACAAGTTATCTACGGTATTAATATATACCATATATATCATGCAGATGATTAGGCACTATCATGACAATATAATTCCAGTAATCTCTTTCATGTTCTCTAGTAGCTCGAGAGATACCAAGAAAATTTCGAAAAGGCCTAGATCCTAACATTGATACCTAGGCCACACATGCATACCGCCTAGTTCCTACCTATCGTTACAAAGTTGACCGGGTTGATAATCTGATGCTGAATCTGTCGTACTGAATCTTTCATTCTGAATCATATTGAATCTTGCTCATCATTATTATTGTTATAATATTCAACCCTGTTTTATGACTTTTTAACACATGATTGTATTCATGCATATCCAAAACACATATGTCATGTGAGATCAATGAACAATTATTAGCATACAAATGTAACCGTAACTGTTTCTATATATTCTAATTGGAAAGCCTCCCCGGTTGCACTAGGCATGTGTTTATCAGAAAATGCATCCATAGACACTGAAGCTAGTTTTCTCCCCATTTTGTTTAAAGTTAGTTTATGGAGCTGTTACAACATGCAAGTGGCATTGTCAGATTGGTAATAACGTCCTCATGACGATTTAGAATTGCTTTGAAATCTTGCAGTAAGAATATATAGACTGACTGGTAGCACGAGGTGATTGACTGTTGTCACGACATGGTTGACTGTTGTCACGATGTGTTTGGCTGCTGTCACGAGGTGATTGACTGTTGTCACGAGATGGTTGACTGCTGTCACGAGGTGATTGACTGTTGTCACGAGGTGTTTGACTGTTGTCACGAGGTGACTGACTGTTGTCACGAGGTGTTTGACTGTTGTCACGATGTGTTTGACTGTTGCCACGATTTGATTGACTGCTGTCACGAGGTGAGTGACTGTTGTCACGAGGTGTTTGACTGTTGTCACGATGTGTTTGACTGTTGCCACGATTTGATTGACTGTTGTCACGATGTGATTGACTATGGTCACGAGATGATTGACTGTTGTCACGAGGTGTTTGACTGCTGTCACGAGGTGATTGACTGTTGTCAAGAGGTGATTTCCAGACAGAAATACAGAGGTCAAGCTAGAAATCGCCTTGCACAGAACAAAACCATGAAATCTGCAAACGACCATTGAACAATCAACAAACCATATTCACACAGGCCAACAATCAGAAAAGTTAATATAATGGGTCATGCCCAAAACAATAACTGGCCCTGTTGTCAATGTCCTGCACTGACAAATGCCCGGAATGCAACAGACCCGCCTCCCCTTCCGGATCATGAACAGTCATGGAGGCGGACAGAAACCTAGTTTATTTCAAGCAGGCTTCCGCAAGCAGCCAGGAAACATCGAATGGCCCTCTTGTCATCCTTATATCGGTACACCCAGTCGTTCCAAAAACTCCCCTATCCCGATAGGTGTGCCAGGTTTAGAAATAAACAGGGCCGGAGAACTCTACATTCTACTGGGGCTGTTCACTGGTCACAACAACACAACGGAAATTTACTGCAAATGTCAACAGTTTCGACTGCGGCATAACTCTGTGCCTTTGCATATGAAGTGTCAGTAGAAAATAGTATGGGTGTGTCTAGGCGTACTGTCAGCGGAATATAGTGTGAATGTGTCTAGGCGTACTATCAGGAGAATATAGTGTGGATGTCTCTAGGCGTACTGTCAGAGAAATATAGTATAAGTGTGTCTAGGCGTACTGTCAGGGGAATAAACTGTGGATGTGTCTAGGCGTACTGTCAGGGGAATATAGTGTGAATGTGTCTAGGCTTACTGTCAGGGGAATATAGTATAAGTGTGTCTTGGTGAACTGTCAGGGGAATATAGTGTGAATGTGTCTAGGTATACAGTCAGGGGAATATAGTGTGAATGTGTCTAGGCGTACTGTCAGGGGAATATAGTGTGAATGTGTCTAGGTGTTCTGTCAGGGGAATATAGTGTGAATGTGTCTAGGTTTACTGTCAGGAGAATATACTGTGGATGTGTCTAGGTGTACTGTCAGGGGAATATACTGTGGATGTGTCTAGGTATACTGTCAGGGGAATATACTGTGGATGTGTCTAGGTGTACCGTTAGGGGAATATAGTGTGGATGTGTCTTGGTGTACTGTCAGGGGAATATACTGTGGATGTGTCTAGGTGTACTGTCAGGGGAATATACTGTGGATGTGTCTAGGTGTACTGTCAGGGGAATATAGTGTGGATGTGTCTAGGTGTACTGTCAGGAGAATCTAGTATGGGTGTGTCTAGGTATACAGTCAGGGGAATATACTGTGGATGTGTCTAGGTGTTCTGTCAGGAGAATATACTGTGGATGTGTCCAGGTGTAATGTCAGGGGAATATAGTATGGGTGTGTCTAGGTAAACAGTCAAGGGAATATACTGTGGACGTGTCTAGGTGTACCGTTAGGGGAATATAGTGTGGATGTGTCTTGGTGTACTGTCAGGGGAATATACTGTGGATGTGTCTAGGTGTACTGTCAGGGGAATATACTGTGGATGTGTCTAGGTGTACTGTCAGGGGAATATACTGTGGATGTGTCTAGGTGTACTGTCAGGGGAATATACTGTGGATGTGTCTAGGTGTACTGTCAGGGGAATATACTGTGGATGTGTCTAGGTGTACTGTCAGGGGAATATACTGTGGATGTATCTAGGTGTACTGTCAGGGGAATATACTGTGGATGTGTCTAGGTGTACTGTCAGGGGAATATACTTTGGATGTGTCCAGGTGTACTGTTAGGGGAACATACTGTGGATGTGTCTAGGTGTACTGTCAGGGGAATATACTGTGGAAGTGTCTAGGTGTACTGTCAGGGGAATATACTGTGGATATGTCTTGGTGTACTGTCAGGGGATTATACTGAGGATGTGTCTTGGTGTACTGTCAGGGGATGATACTGTGGATGTGTCCAGGTGTACTCTCAGGGGAATATACTGTGGATGTGTCCAGGTGTACTGTCAGGAGAATATATACTGTGGATGTGTCCAGGTATACAGTCAAGGGAATATACTGTGGATGTGTCTTGGTGTACTGTCAGGGGAGTAAAGTATGGATGTGTCTAGGTGTACTGTCAGGAGAGTAAAGTATGGATGTATCTAGGTGTACTGTCAGGAGAATATAGTATGGATGTGTCTTGGTGTACTGTCAGGGGAGTAAAGTATGGATGTGTCTAGGTGTACTGTCAGGGGAGTAAAGTATGGATGTATCTAGGTTTCCTGTCAGGAGAATATAGTATGGATGTGCCTAGGTGTACTGTCAGGAGAATATAGTATGGATGTGTCTTGGTGTACTGTCAGGGGAGTAAAGTATGGATGTGTCTAGGTGTACTGTCAGGAGAATAAAGTATGGATGTGTCTTGGTGTACTGTCAGGGGAGTAAAGTATGGATGTGTCTAGGTGTACTGTCAGGAGAATATAGTATGGATGTGTCTTGGTGTACTGTCAGGGGAGTAAAGTATGGATGTGTCTAGGTGTACTGTCAGGAGAATATAGTATGGATGTGTCTTGGTGTACTGTCAGGGGAGTAAAGTATGGATGTGTCTAGGTGTACTGTCAGGAGAATATAGTATGGATGTGTCTTGGTGTACTGTCAGGGGAGTAAAGTATGGATGTGTCTAGGTGTACTGTCAGGAGAATATAGTATGGGTGTGTCAAGGTGAAATGTCAGAGGTATATAGAATGAGTGTGTCTATGTGTACTGTGAGGGGAATATAGTATGGATGTGTTCAGTTTAACTTTTAGTAGAAAGATGTATGCACATGTCTAGATATATACTCTTGTCAAGAGATCAACCGGTCAAAAAACTCGCCGCTTAGATTCCCTGTAGTTACTTTGAATCTATATCTATCATAGTGTCATTGATTAAAAGAAAACGAATGACAAAACTGCCACTTGTACATTCCAGGATGTCCGCCATAGCAGACAGTGGTTTGCTGGAGAAATGGTGGAAACAATGGCAGAAGCCTCGGACACCGGACATGTGTCCAGCTCCCCCTGACGTCCGTCACATCATACTCAATGACGTCATGGGCCCCGTGTACATCGCGCTTGGGGGCGTGGCACTAGCGGGCTTGTTCCTGGTTCTAGAGCTGCTCACGCATCGAGTACATCTGCTCCAAACCGGAACTCAAACGAATAAAACACCAACGTAATTTTCGCTGATGGAGTGTTAGAAGATGACACCAGTGATGTGTAGATAGCATGAATGTGTGTGTTGTCGAGGACACCAGGTGTTCAAAGACCGGTGGAAATAGATGCAAAGTGAAGCTACTGAATATGTCCTGAATATCATGTCCACAACATATATGCCACCGGACTTGCAGAGGGTCACGTGGTCCTGCAGCAAAGGGAGATCACTGTTGTTTGAGATCGTAAAAGACATACCAATGGCCGAAATGAATAACTAGAGACCCACGTACCTCACTCTGACATATTAACAGTGTGTTACGGGACAGATCGTGTATATTGACATGAGTGAACGTTATTTCTTGTCATGAAATATGTGCTATGGTATAAATGCATATTATAATTTCAATATATCTTTTTATATCTGATACCTAGAGGAAACAGAATTGGAAATATTAGAAACGCAAATGTCAATGACAAATATGGAAATGTTCTGCTCTCCAGACCGTGTGATGACAAAACACGGATCGGAAACGAAATAGGCATGACTCTAGTAACTAAGGCACATATTGAACTATTGAACTTAGTATAAAATATATTGAATACTTCATGACTTGAAAACTAAAGCAAAAGTACAAGATTGTTCAATTTACAAATTTGTCAAATTTACAATTTTATTATTTTTATTTTCGAAATATATCGAAATGAGCTGTGGAACTTAAATGAATGGACCACTGATAATCAGTGATGACACCAAGTTTTCGCAAAAAGGGTAAGCATGTCCTGCACTACGGGTAGCACCCGCCATTCACACAATTTGCATAAAAAAGTAAGTATTTTTTGCCTGATGCCACCAGTGGGTGGAAACTTATCACCATGGCACTGTGCATATGGCCACATATCACCATGGCTCTGTACATATGGACACATATCACCATGGCACTGTGCATATGGCCACATATCACCATGGCACTGTACATATGGACACATATCACCATGGCACTGTACATATGGACACATTTCACGATGATACTGTACATATGGACACATATCACCATGGCACTGTACATATGGACACATATCACCATGGCACTGTACACATGGACACATTTCACTATGATACTGTACATATGGACACATATCACCAAGGCACTGTACACATGGACACATATCACCATGGCACTGTACGTATGGACACATATCACCATGGCTCTGTACATATGGACACATATCACCATTGCACTGTACATATGGCCACATATCACCATGGCACTGTACATATGGACACATATCACCATGGCACTGTGCATATGGACACATATCACCATGGCACTGTACATATGGACAAATATCACCATGTCACTGTACATATGGCCACATATCACCATGGCACTGTACACATGGACACATGTCACTATGATACTGTACATATGGACACATATCACCATGGCACTGTACACATGGACACATGTCACTATGATACTGTACATATGGCCACATATCACCATGGCACAGTACATATGGACACACATCACCATGGCACTGTACATATGGACACATTTCACTATGATACTGTACACATGGACATATTTCACCATGGCACTGTACATATGGACACATATCACCATTGCACTGTACATATGGCCACATATCACCCAGGCACTGTACATATGGACACATATCACCATAGCACTGTACATATGGACACATATCACCATAGCACTGTACATATGGCCACATGTCACTATGATACTGTACAATGGACACATATCACCACGGCACTGTACACATGGACACATGTCACTATGATACTGTACATATGGCCACATTTCACTATGATACTGTACATATGGCCACATATCACCATGACACTGTACATATGAACACATATCACCATGGCCCTGTACACATGGACACATTTCACTATGATACTGTACATATGGACACATATCACCATTTCACTGTACATATGGACACATATCACCATTGCACTGTACACATGGACACATGTCCCTATGATACTGTACACATGGACACATGTCACTATGATACTGTACATATGGCCACATATCACCATGGCACTGTACATATGGACACATATCACCGTGACTCTACACGTGGCCACGTATCACCCAGGCACTGTACACATGGACACATGTCACTATGATACTGTACATATGGCCACATATCACTATTGCACTGTACATATGGCCACATATCACCCAGGCACTGTACATATGGACACATATCACCATAGCACTGTACATATGGACACATATCACCATAGCACTGTACATATGGCCACATGTCACTATGATACTGTACATATGGCCACATATCACCATGGCACTGTACACATGGACACATGTCACTATGATACTGTACATATGGCCACATTTCACTATGATACTGTACATATGGACACATATCACCATGGCACTGTACATATGGACACATATCACCATGGCACTGTACACATGGACACATTTCACTATGATACTGTACATATGGACACATATCACCATTTCACTGTACATATGGACACATATCACCATGGCACTGTACACATGGACACATGTCACTATGATACTGTACACATGGACACATGTCACTATGATACTGTACATATGGCCACATATCACCATGGCACTGTACATATGGACACATATCACCAAGGCACTCTACACGTGGCCACGTATCACCCAGGCACTGTACACATGGACACATGTCACTATGATACTGTACATATGGCCACATATCACCATGGCACTGTACATATGGCCACATATCACCATTGCACTGTACATATGGCCACATATCACCATGGCACTGTACACATGGACACATGTCACTATGATACTGTACATATGGCCACATATCACCATGGCACTGTACATATGGACACATATCACCATGGCACTGTACACATGGACACATGTCACTATGATACTGTACATATGGCCACATATCACCATGGCACTGTACACATGGACACATTTTACTATGATACTGTACATATGGACACATGTCACTATGATACTGTACATATGGACACATGTCACTATGATACTGTACACATGGCCGCATATCACCATGGCACTGTACACATGGCCACATATCACCATGGCACTGTACATATGGACACATATCACCATGGCACTGTGCATATTGCCACATATCACCATGGCACTGTACACATGGACACATGTCACTATGATACTGTACACATGGACACATGTCACTATGATACTGTACATATTGCCACACATCACCATGGCACTGTACATATGGACACATATCACCATGGCACTGTGCATATGGCCACATATCACCATGGCACTGTACACATGGACACATTTCACTATGATACTGTACATATGGACACATATCACCATTTCACTGTACATATGGACACATATCACCATTGCACTGTACACATGGACACATGTCACTATGATACTGTACACATGGACACATGTCACTATGATACTGTACATATGGCCCACATATCACCATAGCACTGTACATATGGACACATGTCACTATGATACTGTACATATGGCCACATGTCACTATGATACTGTACACATGAACACATGTCACTATGGTACTGTACATATGGCCACATATCACCATGGCACTGTACATATGGCCACATATCACCATAGCACTGTACATATGGACACATGTCACTATGATACTGTACATATGGCCACATATCACCATGGCACTGTACATATGGCCACATATCACCATGGCACTGTACATATGGCCACATTTCACCCAGGCACTGTACACATGGACACATGTCACTATCATACTGTACATATGGACACATCTCACCATGACACTACATATGTACAAATTAATAATAACGATATAGCAGTACTATTTACCATTCGACTATTTTTTGTCTCTACAAGGAATTACACAAGGCTGTCTGAGCCCCTACCGACTTCAATTACTGGTAAACTATAGGAATTGCGATCACTTAAAGAAATATTTTATTTTATGCAGTAGAATGACATATTGGTCACTGTTTAAAGGTAGTCTATATGACGAGACACTCGTAAGGTCTTCATACTGTCTCACCGATTGTGTTTTAAAAAGAATTCACGATCATTTCGGTGGAATTTTCAATCAACAATGGTGAATTATATATCCCATCTTCAGCGCCGGTCACTCGGAATAGCTTGTTATAATCTAATATTTCCATCACACACAAAAATTAAATTATCCAAACCTTGATACGATGTTAAATTTGAAAGTACAAATGACAGATTACAGCTACAATCCATCATTTATCTGGAATCGATTCCCCTTGTTCGGGTTGTGTGTTTGTGTCTTGCACGGACAGAAAGAGTTTGTCAAATTTCCAAACTTGGTGAATGCCACTGTCCACTCAGACACTGACATGTTATTTGGCTTTATTCATCAGTTCGTATTTGTTTATTAGGTTGTTGTCACTAACTTAAAAAGGTTAAGTAGCAATCTCATATACTTTCATTGTCAGCTTCCTGTATGAGAGATATACTGTTATGCATACAGCAACAATACACTGGTTAACACAAACAATTTTATACCTATGCGGGATGCGTACCAGCTACCTCTTGCTTTGTAGTTCTTCATGGAACCAATCTAATATATCTTGAAAATGAGTTATTCTTCATATATTAACCAACATGTATGGTATTCGCGTTTCTTTTGCGGTGAGTGTATATTTTACACCTCATCATATTTGACTTATAGCCTGATGATATGCACATTATTCAACATGTTTAAATTCTAAACATGTCTAAAGGTGTTTAAATTCTAAACATATTAAAAGATAATTAAATTCTAAACATATTTAAAGATGTTAAAGGTGTTTTAATTCTAAACATATTTAAAGATGTTAAAGGTGTTTTAATTCTAAACATATTTAAAGGTGCTTAAATTCCAAACATATTTAAAGATGTTTAAATTCTAAACATGTCTAATAGTGTTTTAATTCTAATTATATTTGAAGGTGTTTAAACTCTTAACACATTTAAAGGTGTTTAAATTCTAAACATGTTTAAAGGTCTTTAAATTAAAAACATGTTATTGGGATGTCGTGTTCAGGTGGTGTTCAGACTATGAGGCGATAGCTCAGTTCAAGTGTTCAGTTCATGTGAATATTATAAAAAGGTCATTTTTCAAAACCCACAAAGAAAAGAAAGAACAATGTGTGCTGAAGAATGTCAGTGCACGAACAGGACACTACACTGCTTAAGGACAACGTTGACAATAAAGATCCCCAGATGGCGCTGCAATTTGTAAAACATTCCGAGTTTAATCGCCTTGTTCCGCCGTGTATATAATAAATGCAAGTGCTCATTGTATTACGTCATTCCTCGTGCACTCAGCGTGTGACGTCAAACACGAAGGTGTTATGATGCCAAGTTAATTTTCTGACGCACATGTTCATGAGAAGACGTTTGGTGAGAATATTGCGGCACTTGGTGTACCCAAGTACATATTACGACTATACTATTACTCAGAGATGCAAAATGTTAAATTTCCTGGCTGATGGTGTAAATGTCACTGCAAATATTTTACCAATTTGAAAAAGAGACACTGCTAAGTATTGTCCGAGATTTCGTTATGCGTAAAAAACAAAGAATTTCGACACCGATAAAAGTCCTGAGCGACGATCTGTCCCAATGTGGTTTCAAACGAACGACAGTAATACATGCTAAGCGTTAACTGTTTGTTTATAGAAAGGTCGGGACAGATGTCGGATTACGTAGAGTATATTATTCATCAAAACGAGCCGCTTTTCCGGAGACCACTATGACAAGTAGTCTCAATACTACCAGCATATGTGTGTGACGTTACAACTTTGTGTGTACTGTCATCGAGGGTTGTGTACCGCCATCCTGCCTGGCAAGTAAAGTATGTCAACCAAACACACTCTGTTTGTGATGTCTTATAGAACCCCCTGATTCATGTCTTTGTCTCAGACAGACATGAAGACTTAAACAAGGATGACAGCACGTTCGATACATTAACGCAGCATGTTTAAATAGAATATCTATCTATCCATAGATACATCCATAGATATTTCCTAGATGCACAAGGAAAGGCGTAACACAATGAGCACTTCGGCATGCATTTATTATATACACGGCGGAACAAGCCGATTAAACTCGGAATGTTTTACAAATTGCAGCGCCACCTGGCGTTATTTATTGTCAACGTTGTCATTTAGCAATGTAGTGTCCTTTCGTGCACAGACGTTCTTCAGCACACATTGTCTTTCTTTACATATGACGTATTTTGTTTGCCAGTTGTTCATTTGTATTGTTTTTATTTTGAATAAATTATTCGCATAATGACATTTATATATAACATTCATTCTTGATTCGTAACATTTGACTTGTTTTGCGTACTTTTGTCCTATATTTCAACTTTGTCGTTTTTGACCGAATGGCCGCCCATAAGACCGTGTTTAGATAGAACACACCCAATGTGCATACCGTTTAGGGTTGAAACACATTCCTAAACATGGCTTGTATATGTATACATTCTTAAATCATTTTTACAGTGTGGTTTAAGCAGTTGATTGTATTTATTAAATAAGTGATATTTACTTATCTTCAGCATCTTCGACCAATCTACCAGACAGGATAGTAAATTCCGGGCCTCGGTTACTAATTAAGTTAGTGGAATTCACCAGGCTTTTAGCTCAGAGCGAAAATGTTTTGCATGAATTATTATGTACAATCATAAACTTGATCAATCCCTGTGTGGCAATTTAATAAGTTATTTTAGAAATAAAATGGCGGGCAAAAGAAAGTATACACTCGAAAATTGAAACTGACCAAACAATTACAAACGTTATCGAAAGGTTTCTAGGCAGAAAACGGTCGCAGAAACACTGCAAACTTGAGGTCCAATACACAACTATAATACCTGTATCAAATACATCACCATCGATTAACCATTTCCTGTTTGTTTCAGTTTTAGCCACAATCAAACATGGGTGTGTAATTAGGCGGTCGCTGATTGGTCGACCGGTTCTTATTATTGTTTCTGTAATGTCAGACTATATCAAGACGGGTGGCCCAGTCGTCTAAGGCGCCGCGATTCGCTGTGCAGAGTTGCGTCCCTTGGGCACGCCAGAATCCTATGATTGTGGGTTCGAATCCCGGTTCGCCCCGATTATGTTTCTAGGTTTGTCAGCACCATACCCGTGCTCGTGGGTTTCACCGAAGTTGTAAACGTCTGAGACCTGCATCACTTCGGGCTTTCCTCCCACATCAAGCTGACACGCCGTGATATAACTGGAATACTGTTAAAAGCGGCGTTAAACCCAACTCACTCACTCACTATATCAAGCCGTGAACACTGTTTTCTGATACAGAACGCTTACACTGTGCGCTTCAAGGCCCTCGGTGGACACTGAGAGGACGCCTGATTTCTTATTATGATTTTAAAGGAGAAATTGATAGGTGGATGCTGATTGGTCGGCGATTTTGCGAAAAGGATCCATATCGGTTGGCCGTGTGTTACCATGGTGATATACAACTATCAAGAATATTAAACGTAGCGAAGCTGTTTATTTGGACACACACATGTGTGGGGAAGTGTTGAATGGAGTTCTTTCTACCAGTTACAGTTGAAGCTGGCCAACTCCGCACTCAGCGGTTCCTCGCATGTGAAGAAGTGTTTACTGATGACGTCACAGGGGGTCTTCTTGTAGAGACAGACGTCAAGGAAGCACTCCGTCATGCTGCTCAGGAGTTGTCTTGCATTCTTATGGTGGGACAGGCACTGCTCTCCGTCGTCGGTGAACACGTACTGGCCGCAGATTAAGGTGGCAATGTCCTCATCCGCGACGTCGAGGCAGTAGGAGTTGAACTGGTCGTGGAGCGTCTGACACTCCCTGAAGAGATGAGAGACAATACCAAGCTCAGAGCTGGTCGCTAATAGGCCCAAGTTCACCCTTACCCTTACTAACACCACCACCACCACCACCACCACTACTACTACTACTACTACTACTACTACTACTACTACTACTACTACTACTACTACTACTACTGCTACTTCTACTACTAATAATAATATTGTTTGTATTACTATTGCTACTACTTCTACTAATGCTGCTGCTGCCACTACTGCTACTGCTACTGCTACTACTACTACCACCACCACGACCAGCTCTAACACAACTACCACTCTTGCTGCTACTAATGCTGCTGCTGCTACGGCTACTACTACTACTGCTACTGCTACTACCACTGCTACTCCAACTACCACTTCTTCTACCACTGTTGCTGCTACTACCGCTGCTACTTCTGATGCCTCTACTACTACAACTACAACTACTACTACTACTACTACTACTACTACTACTACTATTACGACTACTAAAATAATGATACTACTACCATTCCATGTTTCGTCTCAACCATATTTCGATATAGCATTACTGTGTTGTTACAACAATACTTCAATATAGCGTTACTTTGTCGTCACAACCTTACTTCGATTTAAAGTTTCTCTGTCGTCACAACATACTTCTATAGAGAATTACTCTGTCGTAACATCTACACTTCGATAGAAACTTACCCTGTCGTCACAACCGTACTTCAATATAACTAGGGCCTGTCGGGTAGCCTAGTGGTTAAAGCGTTCGCTCGTCACTCCGAAGATCCGGGTTCGATTCCCGACATGGGTACAATGTGTGAAGCCCATTTCTGGTGTCCCCCGCCGTGATATTGCTGGAATATTGCTAAAAGCGGCGTAAAACCATACTCACTCACTCACTCACTCACTCACTCAATATAACTAGATTCAACGTCAAGAATTCTGTGTTTTTCTTCCAGGACGGTGTCCACATTACTTTGCTTACTTCAAACCATGCCCATACTTGTGATACGCCACGTTATCTAACACGGCACCTGTAGACCTGAGACGTACCTGGATATCGAATTGATGTTTTTGAGGGCCATCACTAGCGTGTCTTGTTTCACGGTGAGGTTATATCTCTCGGCCTGTTGTTTCAAGGTCATCTCAGGGTCATCTGTCGGCAGCATGGAGCCCTGGTAGAGATTGCCCGACTTTGGAATGTCGATGACCACGTATGGGTTAGGGGAGTAGTACTTGATCACCGTGGAACACTCCGTGATATCTATGTTCACCATCCCATCCGTCACACTGTACGTCACAGGGAGGTCGTTTTTCCGAAACTCCTGGAAGAGACATTCTCATATAATAAGACGAAGAGGAAAAAAAGAGAAAGAAAAAGAAGAGGAAGAATTGATGATAATATCAATATATGATGAGTATTATGATGATAATGATGATTATGACGACTACTACTACTACTACTACTACTACTACTACTACTACTACTACTACTACTACTATTACCAGCATAACCACCACTACCAACAAAAATAATAATTATGATGATGATTATATTTAAATATGTCTTTAAATATGTGTCTGGGGCCTGAAAACAACATCGGTTTGGTGTGTGAGTGGATGCTTTATGTCGCAGAAAGCAATACAAGTAAGGGTGTAAGGGTGTTCGTTATAAACGTAGTTGACTGTGTCTCTCCCTATCCATTGCTCTCTGTATTTACCTACCTACCTACCTACCTCCCTAAAAGTAAAAAGTATCCATCTATCTATCTATCTATCAATCCATCCATCCATCCATCCATCCATCCATCCATCTATCTATCTATCTATACGCACCACTCCTGTGTTGACGATCATGCGTGTTTCATTGCTGTGCTTCTTCATGATGATCTCTATCCCGTTGATGAAGGTACGCGAGATGCTGCTGATGGTGTCCAAGTCGGGGCCGTTGGCGTACGCGGAGATGTAGCAGTCTCCGGGAATGTTCCCCTTCAGTATCATGTGTCCGCAGGGGGTGGGGAAACGGTAATTCTCGCTTGGAATCAAAGTGTGCACCAGCGGATCGCCATACTCGATGCCAACTAGCCGATCAGCTGGAAGTTAAAGGCATGTGTGTAGAATATGTCATCCCACCGAAACACAATTGTCCACATACATAATACATTCATGTTTTGTTTGTTCATTGAATATTAGAATATTTCTCTTGGTGGACCCGGATGGCCTATTGATGTAAGACGCGTCAATTCGCTGTTGAGAGTTGGGTCCCCTAGCCGTGCCATGACCTGTTTCTCGTGGGTTCGAATCCCAGATTAATCCTGATTATAACTATACCAACGGGCAATGGTTGCGCACAGGTCGCAAACTTCTACGACCATCGTCACTTGGGGTGTTCCTCCCATGCTACGTTGACGCGCCATGATTAACTGGAATAATGTTGGCAATACGGAGAACTGGAGATGAGGGGACACGTGGGGAGATGCAAGAACTATTATATACATGTTTAATACTGCGATTACAGGAAATGTGCCCCTAACCTGCTCAATAAAACATTAAAATAATGAAAATGAACACCTACCTTTTTGATAGCAATAGAATCTTCCATCGCCGTCGGGAAGGTTTACAGGACAAACGCAGACGCCCCCTTCACATGTTGCTTCCGGTACGCACTGGGACGCGGAACAGAGGAAAGCTGGAAAACAGAAACACGGCACATCACGTGTTAATTACCTGACTCACTACAACACATAACGTATATATTACATGACTCCCTACAACACAGCACGTATATATTACATGTCTCCTTACAACACAGCACGTATATATTACATATCTCCCTACAACACAGCACGTATATGTTCCATGTCTCCCTACAATACAGCATGTATATATTACATGTCTCCCTACAACACAGCACGTATATATTACATGTCTCCCTACAACACAGCACGTATATGTTCCATGTCTCCCTACAATACAGCATGTATATATTACATGTCTCCCTACAACACAGCATGTATATATTACATGTCTCCCTACAACACAGCACGTATATGTTCCATGTCTCCCTACAACACAGCACGTATATATTACATGTCTTCCTACAACACAGCATGTATATGTTCCATGTCTCCCTACAACACAGCACGTATATATTACATGTCTCTCTACAACACAGCATGTATATGTTCCATGTCTCCCTACAATACAGCATGTATATATTACATGTCTCCCTTCAACACATCACGTATATATTACATGTCTCCCAACAACACAGCACGTATATGTTCCATGTCTCCCTACAATACAGCACGTAAATATTACATGTCTCCCTACAACACAGCATGTATACATTACATGTCTCCCTACAACACAGCACGTATATGTTCCATGTCTCCCTACAACACAGCACGTATATGTTCCATGTCTCCCTACAACACAGCACGTATATGTTCCATGTCTCCCTACAACACAGCATGTATATATTTCATGTCTCCCTTCAACACATCACGTATATCTTACATGACTCCCTACAACACAGCATGTATATATTACATGTCTCCCTAAAACACAGCATGTATATATATTACATGTCTCCTTACAACACATCACGTATATATTACTTGTCTCCCTACGACACAGTATGTATATATTACATGTCTCCCTACAACACATAACGTATATGTTACATGTCTCCCTACAACACATCATGTAAGCCATCTGTCGTAGAAGAGAATTGTCTTTGTGAACCCTGAATTAAGTGTGAATTGTAAGTAAGCCACCTGTCGTAGAAGAAAATTGTCTTTGTGGACCCTGAACTAAGTGTGAATTGTAAGTAAGCCATCTGTCGCAGAGGTGAATTGACCATGTGGACCCTGAACTAAGTGTGAATTGTAAGTAAGCCATCAGTCGTTGAGGTGAATTGTTCTTGTGGACCGTGAACTAAGTGTGAATTGTAAGTAAGCCATGTGTCGTTGAGGTGAATTGTTCTTGTGGGCCCTGAACTAAGTGTGAATTGTAAGTAAGCCATGTGTCGTAGAGGTGAATTGACCTTGTGGACCCTGAACTAAGTGTGAATTGTAAGTAAGCCATCAGTCGTTGAGGTGAATTGTCTTTGTGGACCCTGAACTAAGTGTGAATTGTAAGTAAGCCATCTGTCGTAGAGGTGAATTGACCTTGTGGACCCTGAACTAAGTGTGAATTGTAAGTAAGCCATCAGTCGTTGAGGTGAATTGTCTTTGTGGACCCTGAACTAAGTGTGAATTGTAAGTAAGCCATCAGTCGTTGAGGTGAATTGTCTTTGTGGGCCCTGAACTAAGTGTGAATTGTAAGTAAGCCATCAGTCGTTGAGGTGAATTGTCTTTGTGGGCCCTGAACTAAGTGTGAATTGTAAGTAAGCCATGTGTCGTAGAGGTGAATTGCTCTTGTGGGCCCTGAACTAAGTGTGAATTGTAAGTAAGCCATCTGTCGTAGAGGTGAATTGCTCTTGTGGGCCCTGAACTAAGTGTGAATTGTAAGTAAGCCATCTGTCGTAGAGGTGAATTGTCTTTGTGGGCCCTGAACTAAGTGTGAATTGTAAGTAGGCCATCTGTCGTAGAGGTGACTGTTCTTTTGGCATCTGCTCAAAGTGGGAAGTTTTGTTTTGCCAAAGAAGCGAGATGCTCATGCAGTTCCAGATGCAGTGACATCATGAGAGGGGACATCGGTGATTGGCTGCAGGAATGTGGGCAGAGAAGCTATGTACCCATGTGCGTGTGCTTGTGCGTGTGCTTGTGCGTGTGCGTGTGCGTGTGCGTGTGCGTGTGAGTGTGTGTGAGTGTGCGTTTGAGTGTGTGTGTGAGTGTGTGTGAGTATGCGTGTACGTGTGAGTGTGCGTGTAATTTTGAGTGTGTGTGTGTGAGTGTGCATGTACGTGTGAGTGTGCGTGTGTGTGTAAGTGTACGTGTGAGTGTGTGTGCGCGTGTGAGAGTGCGTGTACGTGTGAGTGAGTGTGTGTGTGTGAGTATGTGTGTACGTGTGAGTGTATGTGTGAGAGTGCGTGTGAGTGTACGTGTGAGTGTGCGTGTGTTTGTGTGGGTGTGAGTGTGTGTGCGTGTACGTGTGTGTGTGAGTGTGCGTGTACGTGCGAGTGTGTGTGAGTGTGCGTGTACGTGTGAGTGTGCGAGTACGTGTGAGTGTGAGTGTGCGTGTACGTGTGCGTGTGCGCGTGTGTGTGCGTGTTTGTGTGGGTTTGTGTGTACGTGTGAGTGTGGGCCGATCCGGTAGTGTTTATTTTCATTCTTACACATCAAACCTTACATGTTTTATAATGAGTTGTAGTGAGATACACATGCCCAACGTGTTCGTTTCAGTGAAGTCTGTTCAAATCTACCGATTCTCAATTTTTAATCTCCATTCCACCATGAGAAAATTGAACGCGTGTTGTTGAAAATATTGAGTGAAGTAGGATGTGTTGGGGCCATCAATGGACACGGGCCGTTGATTATCCAGGCGATGGGAGACATATTGAAGAGCGTATTCCGCCTTGTTGAACATACCGAACTACACTGGAGTTGCAAGTATGGCGCAGTATGTGCTCAAACATGTTCTTCAACGTTATCACACTTTTGGGGCGGTGGGGTAGCCCAGTGGTTAAAGTGTTCGCTCGTCACGCCGAAGACCTGGGTTCGATTTCCGACATGGGTACAATGTGTGAAGCCCATTTCCGGTGTCCCCCGCCGTGACATTGTTGGAATATTGCTAAAAGCGGCGTAAAGTCAAACTCACTCACTCACTCATCACACTTTACTCGCGTATGACAGACAGTGAAAGCGGGTAGCACAGCCACTTGTAGGCCAACATGACCTAGACACCCCTATAGAAGGTAAACAAGTCTCACAAGGACTTGTTCTACGTCCCACATCACTGTACTATTAAGGTTTTGATTATTGTAATTTGAAAGTCAGAATCAGATTCGAGAATTTTCCAAATGCATGTCAAAGCGGTTACTAAATCTTAATACCCAATCATATCTCTAAACACACCCCATCACACGGAAATCCCCCTTAGCACCCCATCCCTAGCACCCCATCTCCAGCACCCCATCTCCAGCATTCCATCCCCAGCATTCCATCCCCAGCACCCCAACCCCAGCACCCCATCCCCAGCACTCCATCCCCAGCACTCCATCCCCAGCACTCCATTATAAGCACCCCATCTCCAGCACTCCATCCCCAGCACCCCATCCCCAGCACTCCATCCCCAGCACTCCATTATAAGCACCCCACCCCCAGCACTCCATCCCCAGCACTCCATCCCCAGCACTCCATCCCCAGCACCCCATCTCCAGCACTCCATCTCCAGCACCCTATCCCCAGCACTCCATCCCCAGCACTCCATTATAAGCACCCCATCTCCAGCACTCCATCCCCAGCACCCCATCTCCAGCACCCCACCCCCAGCACTCCATCCCCAGCACCCCATCCCCAGCACCCCATCCCCAGCACTCCATCTCCAGCACTCCATTATAAGCACCCCATCTCCAGCACCCCATCTCCAGCACCCCATTTCCAGCACCCCATCTCCAGCACCCCATCCCCAGCACCCGATCCCCAGCACCCTATCCCCAGCACCCCATCTCCAGCACCCCATCTCCAGCACCCCATCTCCAGCACTCCATCTCCAGCACCCGATCCCCAGCACTCCATCTCCAGCACCCCATCTCCAGCACCCCATCTCCAGCACCCCATCTCCAGCACCCCATCTCCAGCACTCCATCTCCAGCACCCCATCTCCAGCACTCCATCTCCAGCACCCCATCTCCAGCACCCCATCCCCAGCACCCCATCTCCAGCACTCCAACTCCAGCACCCCATCCCCAGCACTCCATCTCCAGCACCCCATCTCCAGCACCCGATCCCCAGCACTCCATCTCCAGCACCCTATCTCCAGCACCCCATCTCCAGCACTCCATCTCCAGCACCCCATCTCCAGCACTCCATCTCCAGCACCCCATCTCCAACACCCCATCTCCAGCACCCCATCCCCAGCACTCCATCCCCAGCACCCCATCCCCAGCACCCTATCTCCAGCACCCCATCTCCAGCACTCCATCTCTAGCACCCCATGTCCAGCACCCCATCTCCAGCACCCCATCTCCAGCACTCCATCTCCAGCACCCCATCTCCAGCACCCCATCCCCAGCACCCCATCTCCAGCACCCCATCTCCAGCACCCCATCTCCAGCACTCCATCCCCAGCACCCCATCCCCAGCACTCCATCTCCAGCACCCCATCTCCAGCACCCCATCTCCAGCACCCCATCTCCAGCACCCCATCTCCAGCACCCCATCTCCAGCACCCCATCTCCAGCACTCCATCTCCAGCACCCCATCTCCAGCACTCCATCTCCAGCACCCCATCTCCAGCACCCCATCCCCAGCACTCCATCCCCAGCACTCCATTATAAGCACCCCATCTCCAGCACCCCATCTCCAGCATCCCATCTCCAGCACCCCATCTCCAGCACCCCATCCCCAGCACCCCATCCCCAGCACCCTATCTCCAGCACCCCATCTCCAGCACCCCATCTCCAGCACTCCATCTCCAGCACCCGATCCCCAGCACTCCATCTCCAGCACCCCATCTCCGGCACCCCATCTCCAGCACCCCATCTCCAGCACCCCATCCCCAGCACTCCATCCCCAGCACCCGATCCCCAGCACCCCATCCCCAGCACCCCATCTCCAGCACCCCATCTCCAGCACCCCATCTCCAGCATCCCATCTCCAGCACCCCATCTCCAGCACCCCATCTCCAGCACCCCATCTCCAGCACCCCATCTCCAGCACCCCATCCCCAGCACTCCATCCCCAGCACCCCATCCCCAGCACTCCATCCCCAGCACCCCATCTCCAGCACCCCATCTCCAGCACTCCATCCCCAGCACCCCATCCCCAGCACTCCATCTCCAGCACCCCATCTCCAGCACTCCATCCCCAGCACCCCATCTCCAGCACTCCATCCCAAGCACCCCATCTCCAGCACTCCATCTCCAGCACTCCATCTCCAGCACCCTATCCCCAGCACCCCATCTCCAGCACCCCATCTCCAGCACCCCATCTCCAGCACCCCATCTCCAGCACTCCATCCCCAGCACCCCATCCCCAGCACCCCATCTCCAGCACCCCATCTCCAGCACTCCATCCCCAGCACCCCATCTCCAGCACTCCATCCCAAGCACCCCATCTCCAGCACTCCATCTCCAGCACTCCATCTCCAGCACCCTATCCCCAGCACCCCATCTCCAGCACTCCATCTCCAGCACCCCATCTCCAGCACCCCATCTCCAGCACCCCATCTCCAGCACTCCATCCCCAGCACCCCATCTCCAGCACTCCATCCCCAGCACCCCATCCCCAGCACCCCATCTCCAGCACTCCATCCCCAGCACCCCATCTCCAGCACTCCATCTCCAGCACCCTATCCCCAGCACCCCATCTCCAGCACTCCATCTCCAGCACTCCATCTCCAGCACCCTATCCCCAGCACCCTATCCCCAGCACTCCATCTCCAGCACTCCATCTCCAGCACCCCATCTCCAGCACCCCATCTCCAGCACCCCATCCCAAGCACCCCATCTCCAGCACTCCATCTCCAGCACTCCATCCCAAGCACCCCATCCCCAGCACCCCATCTCCAGCACTCCATCTCCAGCACCCCATCCCCAGCACTCCATCCCCAGCACCCCATCTCCAGCACTCCATCTCCAGCACCCCATCCCCAGCACCCATCTCCAGCACTCCATCTCCAGCACTCCATCTCCAGCACCCCATCCCCAGCACTCCATCCCCAGCACCCCATCTCCAACATTCCATCCCCAGCACTCCATCCCCAGCACCCCATCTCCAGCACCCCATCTCCAGCACTCCATCTCCAGCACCCCATCTCCAGCACCCCATCCCCAGCACCCCATCCCCAGCACTCCATCCCCAGCACTCCATCCCCAGCACTCCATCCCCAGCACCCCATCTCCAGCACCCTATCTCCAGCACCCCATCTCCAGCACCCTATCTCCAGCACCCTATCTCCAGCACCCCATCTCCAGCACCCCATCCCCAGCACTCCATCCCCAGCACTCCATCCCCAGCACCCCATCTCCAGCACCCCATCCCCAGCACCCCATCCCCAGCACTCCATCCCCAGCACTCCATCCCCAGCACTCCATCCCCAGCACCCCATCTCCAGCACCCTATCTCCAGCACCCCATCTCCAGCACCCTATCTCCAGCACCCTATCTCCAGCACCCCATCTCCAGCACCCCATCCCCAGCACCCTATCTCCAGCACCCCATCTCCAGCACCCCATCTCCAGCACCCCATCCCCAGCACTCCATCCCCAGCACTCCATCCCCAGCACTCCATCCCCAGCACTCCATCCCCAGCACCCCATCTCCAGCACCCTATCTCCAGCACCCTATCTCCAGCACCCCATCTCCAGCACCCCATCCCCAGCACCCTATCTCCAGCACTCCATCCCCCAAGGTAAAAGAACGATTGAGCCTGACGGATTGCACTTCAAAAGTGACGTGACATCGTTAATCAACAAACACATCGATTTAATCTGCGCCATGGTAGGTGCGGAAAATCAGTACAACACATGTTTCCATGTCTGTGTACCTGGAAATCCATTCCAACGATTGTGCACCAGCTCTGGTTACGCATGGATCGTCCCTGGCGTTGTTGTTCCCGACAAACAGGTGCCCCCTCATACATCACACACGTGTGACAATAGATTCATAGCCGACACTTGGCAGTCAATCGATTTATGACACGTCAGTGGGTGTGAGTAAGTGAAAGAGTGAGTGAGTGAGTGAGTGAGTGAGTGAGTGAATGAGGGAGGGAGGGAGGGAGGACAGTGATGCAGCTCTGTGATGTTTACTACATTGGTGAAACAAACGAGCACAGATAAGTTTGGTAACAATTGGTCTTAACTCGGGCCACACAACCAGTAAAATGACCTTACATTTGAATAACACTCCCAAGGAGAGGTGGGGAAATCCACGTAGTAGGTGGTGATCAGTTCCAGCCATTATCCGACATTCTATTGCTACAGAAAGGGGTCATAACATCAGTTTGTGGAAGTGGTTGAGGCTCTTCCTGGGACACAAAGGAGGTCGTAATTAGTAACCCACCCGACCCTCCAGGCTCACAACTAAACAGCATTGGGGTGGACCCGATATTCTAATTAGACAGACATTTCAATTAATATGAGGCCTCAATTAAAAATGTCATTTAGTGCAATGACAGGGCACAGGTAACATTAAATATCTAGTTTCAAAGACATTACTTAGAAGTTGACGGATGTCAAGGAAGACACAATTTATGGATAACAACTTCTTAAAGTACTGTAAAGGCGACGTTTCGGAACAGATCCTTATACCGTTGTCAAGCAAGACTGTCAGTAAATGTCGCTAGTTTTCAAAAATGTAAATATACAGGCAGTGTTGCTGTTATTGTTCTTTAAAAGATTTATAAGCGCATGAAGAGTTATTTCCACTAAAGTAATGCATTCAATTTTCAACATGGAGTAAATCTTTAGATTTACACACACTGTATTCGCAGTCGTTGGTTAGACTCCACCTTGTACGTCATGACGACCAGTTTGAACGAGGGATGTCAAAACATAAATATCTATCTATATTTAATGATTAAATTGTTTATAACAGTAGTATTGAAGAATCGTTGTGGTAAACGCCGCTTTTAACAGTATTCAGGTCATATCACGGCGTGTCAGCTAAATGTGGGAGGGAAGCCCCAAGTCATGCAGGTCTTATATATTCAGACGTTTACCACTCCGGTGAAACCCACGAGCACGGGTAGGGTGCTGACAAACCTAGAAACATAATCGGGGCGAACCAGGTTTCGAACCCACAATCATAGGTTTCTGGCCTGCCCAAGGGACGCAACTTTGCACAGCGAATCGCGGCGCCTTAGACTGGGCCACCCGATGTTTCCAGAAAGGACCAGTGTTTAACACGGGACATAGAAGCACGGTATCAGTTGATGCGCACAATAAGCAACGTAAACATACATTGGCAAATAGTGTTTCACTACTTCAGATGAACTGACAGACCTCGTATGGGGGTAGGGAATTGGGTGGTACCTGGAATCTTGATTAATTCTTTGCACTTGGTCCAAAGTTCTTGGATGCATTATGTAATTCAAGTGTCATAGATTTAAAAAAAATAAGATTTGGTCTGATGTACATATTGCAAATTAAAGAAAAAACTCTCCTCATCTTCAAAGCTTGTGTGGTCAGTTTATTCGATACTGACGTGCCAAGAATCTCTACTTAAGTTAAACTACCGGACTGCGACCTGGGTTCCGTATGCCTGAACAGACAAAGCAAACTCCATCATAAGAGTTTAATGGACAATGTATAAAATTTATAAAATTTCAAAAGTCTGATTTATTTTCAGACCCATGACCAAAGAATACTGAACAAACCAAATTACTAATTAGGAATATTTTTTAGAATATTTTTATGAAAATGTGAGCTCAGTCTCCTCTATAAACACTATACGCTCCCCTCTCCCCTACCCCCCCCCCCCCCCCCCCCCTCCCCCCTCCCCATTCGAATGAAAAGAAAAAAAGGGGGAAAAATGAAATAAGGTTTTGTTCTGCACATGTTCATCAGGCTGGCTACTGGCCACAAGGCATATGTGCCCCCGTCCTTACTCCTCGTTGCAAATCAAGAAAAACTTTGTTTCAAAAACTTTAAAATTGGTCTTTATCACAAAGTTTAGCAATTAAGTTCAAATGTTTCACATGACGAGTATATCCTTTCAAATAACATACCACTAAAAATTACAATTCTAAGACATTTTAATTTATAAATTTTGAACAGCTCTATTGTCAAAGCAGGCCTTGAACTATTGCGTCGTGGGAACACTTGATTCAGAAGTCATACATTTGCAAAATATTTGGAACATATTTTTGGGATATTAGTTTTGTTCATTGTCAGCTTACCACTTTGTGTACATCTCCACTGTAGATACATCACACAGACCAGGAGGAACACTCTCATGATGGCGCCGGGCTGGTTGGTTTGGTTCTGGCGGCAACAGACGGTCCCTCTGGGCGGGGCGGGGGGAGTTGGGGCTATGTATGGACGCTGGGGGTCGATACTACTGACGTAGCTAGTGAAGATGCATAATTAATAACCTGGAGAACAGCTGAGATTGATTACAACTAAAATTACCGTCATAACAATTTTTCATTAACGTTCCAAACAATAATCTATAAATATTGTAAATTTGGAAACAAGCTGAAAACTGATTGTATGATGAGATGTGACGCATTGCCCTTGGCTAATAACAGAATATTGGTGAGAAACTCACACGTGAACTGACTTACATGTTTTTGATATTTTTAAATCATTTATTCTGATGTCTATAAGGATAAAAGCTACAAAATCGTTTTCATAATCATAGGAAATCTCCGATAAAGCCAATGCACGATTCCGGGTTTTTCATAAGCATGTGTTTATGAATCACTACAAAACAGTGATGACACGAGGTGTTCGCGACAAGGTGAGCCTATCCTTTCCAACTGGTAGCACCGTGACAAACACAGACACAGGCATGGGTATTCTCCTTTAAAAAACACGAGAATATATAGTGCAGTTCAAAATAACAAATTGCATCATTTTTGTCATTGATGCGTCACATTAGGAAATGTTCTGAACATGTCCACGATCAAAAAATATAGTTTAACTAAAACCCTTGAGCATGTCCTATAAGTTTTTTTGTGTAATTTGGCCAAGAAGTTTAACGTAAGCTTCAGGTATATGGATGATCTAATATCGTTCAATAACAATCACATAGCCAATTCCCTTCCACTGATTTACCGACCTGCACTAGAAAGGAAGGAGACTTATGAGACCGCCTCATCTGTTTCATATTTAGAAGGGGCGGTCGGGTAGCCTAGTGGTTAAAGCGTTCGCTCGTCACGCCGAAGACCCGGGTTCGATTCCCGACATGGGTACAATGCTTTATTCACGTTACTACTATTAAAATTCTCCAAAAGTCGACGGCGTTGTAGATGCTGGAATATACTTCAAATATTTTACCCATCTGTTACGCCCTAAACGTATTCTCTACACATGAGTGTAATAGTGTTTGTTTTGTCTTGACCGAAGAAGTGGCTGTAGGAAGAGTGAGTGAGTAAGTATGGTTTTACGCCGCTTTGAGCAATTTTCCAGCAATATCACGGCTGGGGACACAAGAAATGGGCTTCACATATTGTGCCCATGTCGGGAATCGAACCCGGGTCTTCGGCGCGACGAGCGAACGCTTTAACCACAAGGCTACCCGAACGCCCTCTATAGGAAAAGACGGAGGACAAATGATACCATTGAGAAGGAGACTGTGCTCTGTGTCGTTGAACGAAATCAAATGACTCAAGCTGTGTCATGTCATGCTGGTGGATGGGTCTACAAACTTTAAGAACCGACAGTATCGACGATGTAGAGGTCTTTTTTATCTATTTTCAAAAGGTTTTTTTATTTCCCATTTCTGTTTTCATCGTGAAATTCTCTATATAAGCAGTACATGTTACAATACAATACATAGGTATGTTCATACTTCATTGGAAGCTTCTATTCAATGTAACATATTTCTGTGAACCAGGTCAGTTGGTCATGATACTTCCTATGATGGGTGTTCGTGAACTCTGACACGCTAAATATTGATATCTTCACATAGTGTGTGGGGTGATGGCCAGATGTAAGAACTGTTTCACATTTAATAAGCAATGGTTTTAGTTGATCCGTAGTATTTAAGTATTTCTCATTGAATTTGCATAAAATGACATCTTAATTCATCACTACTTTGTAAATAAATTGTTTTGTGATAAAGGTTATGACATTTACTGAATTGTGATGTGTAAATCCAAATGTAATATTTTCCTTTGTAAATTGCACCTTTCCGTCCGTTATATTTCCAAGCCAGCCGGCCCTTTCCTTCTACCTACTTGCAGATTGATTCACAAAACATAGGAATTATTGTTTCAATTTTGTCTTTGCATCTTGGGCTTAACGGTGAGTCTGTATATCTATCAAATGTTGTATAAAACGCTATTTGTTATAAGGATATTATGAATTTCTATTTTTCAAAACAATATTACTCCGTTTGCCTCTGTATTACATTAATTTACAATATTCCCATTCTTCATTGTCATATTTCTCAAACAGTTCTCTTCACTCTATATGAGTATGTGTTCTTGTAAAGCATGGGTCCAATACAGTCTGGTAAACATTTTTTCTTTCCTTTATACTATTTGTAAGTGAAAGACTTTAAATGGTAGAGCTGGGCATAAAAAAAAGTCGTTATCTTTGTTTTCGTACAGTATTTTCTGATTGCGTTTTTATACATTGGAATGTTAGAAAGTCAGTGTTAATCTCATTTTATTCTTTAAATTCACTAACTCTGTTTATATCACTGGTTTCCTTTCATAGATCATTAATAAGCATGACAACCATTCAGCCCACTTTGAACAGCAGATTTGCTTTGTCTCCTATTTTAATATCATTATACCAAATAGATTGACTTGCTAGCTCAATATCACTTTTTGCCTTTCAATAACATTTACTCAAATATAGGACCCATGCTTTTAGTACATCACTCCAAAATGTTTTTGAAGCTTTAGGTATGATGTTTTATGATATAAGATGAATCTGTCAAATACATTTTGTTCACATTGTGTATCCATAATGATCCCAGATTGAACCACTGTGTTATAATATAATAATCTTCTAATCCGTGGAATCTTGTGAACCAAAATCACATTTTTAATCACCGGCACATTAATATGTCCATATTTAGAGGAATAATGACATGGAATTTCTCTTAATTTTATCATTTTTTTCTTTTCCATACAAAGTGGAAACATGTTTTTTCTGAAAGGTTTGTATAATCTCATCTGTAGGACAAGGTATAGACGAGAAAAGGTGATTTACTTTTGGTAGTAGTAGAGATTGCAATACTTTATTTCTGCCTCTTAGCGTCAAAGTTCGAATGGACCATAAATTCAAATCTTTTTCCATCGTTTTAAAGTTTATGTGACAATTCATATTAACCTTTTCTTAAAAATTTATACCTATTTATGTAAATTTGGTCTGTGACCAATACACCTTCCATTCATGACATAGTTTATAGCGGGATCTCTTTTATTATCCGATCCAGATTAGTTTAATTTCTTCTGTATTGACCTTAAGTCCAGAAATCTAGCAATTTCTTTCAGTTTATTCATTACTGCATAGAGGCATTTTTCAATCCATCAAATGTAAGCTTAGTGTCGCCTACAAATTCAGCCGGTATGTACTCAATATTAACCATTTTAATTCCCTGTATCTTTGTATTCTTTCTTATCATTGAGTAAAGAGACAAAACCGTTTCCATAACCAATAGAAATCTCTGCATAAAGGAGAGTCCGACTATATCATGAGCATGTGCCTATGCCTATGAAATCACCGTCAAATAGTGATGCTACCAGGTGTTCGCGAAAAGGTGAGCGTTTCCTGAGCGACCGGTGGCACCCGTCACAAACACATGCAAAGGCAAGTCAATTTGGAAATGTTATTGAACGATATCAGATCATCGATATACTTGAAGCTTAAGTTAAACTTCGTGGCCAAATTACCTTGTTTTGACGTTGCTTCTCCGAACAGAAATACCGATTCATATGCATAAAGAAACAGATTCGCAAGAAAGGGAGCACTGATTTTACATAAATGTTATCAATGAGGAAATCCAGCATTTCACATATTCACATATCGGTAAACGTCAGATGGCATTTGCTGTCATTTCCACAAATTGTCCTGAACCTCTGCATGTAGATATGTAACTGTATCTGTGTTCTTATCCACTTTTGAAAACATGGACCGAAATTTTAAAAAATGTAGGTCTTGACATTGCTTTGAAACGTTTGGCAAACCAAGCACATATTCCAATAAATTTAAATAATACCATTTGTTCCTGGGTTTGAAATATACAAACAAGGGAATTGATGTTTTAACTAAAGTAGCATTCTCGGACAGACAAAATAATGTTTCCTTAAATGGCCAATAATATTTCAAATTTCAAGAAACACCAACAGTTTTATTCTTCAATCGCATCCAATAAAAGGAACGTGTTGCAGAACATGGCCATGGCAATTCATGATGTTCATGACGCTGTTACAGTTGCTGCCACGACTCATCATACTGCTACCAACCTGCTGGTTATATAATCACAAGGTGACGTCTCTGTTGTTGACCATAACAGCCTTCGTCAGTTATTGAAATATGGACGAAAACAGCCTACTATCGACTGGGATCACAAATAATTATGGATTCCAAAACAAATGCGCCGATCGAGACGATGCACTTGTCAACACTATTAGAATTAGTTACGTCAGTGGGTGGTGTTGTCATTGGTGGGATACACAAACTGACAAAGAGGAAAAAGAACAGGAAAAAGACCAATGTGTCCCAGCCAGCCAGCTGTCATCTACTGTATGGCTGCCCTACGTCAGACGTTTATAGTTGCTCCCACTGACAAGGCATCTAATAACGTAACCAGTATATGGAACCATTAAGTGTTTGATCAAAGAACCTGGTATAAGTGACATATCAAATAATGTCAGATATAAGGCTAGTATGTTAACTGAGGACGATAAAACCATGCATGAGCACTATCAACCTTTGCTTTGACGCAAAATCAGTGTCAACATTGATATCTGATGCAATTTGGTATTTTGACTTGATACCATATGTTACTCTATTTTAACGGATTAACAATTGACCTGCCTTTACAAATTAAATGTGTTTGTGATGTTGTTAGGTGGGTGGTATAATAGCACTTTTCTTTAATTATTTTTAAGTGTAATCATAGTTGCTGGGTCTGGTTCTCGAGATCTAGGGGTGTGGTCTTATATTGTATGTGGTGTGGGTGGTTTGGACATGGTTGAGTTGGGGTGTAGCAGATGTTGAGTTCACACCTCTCTGCGTCGTGTTGACAGTTCCCCGTGGGTCGGATCTGATGACAGGAGTAGTCGCGTGTGACACGAGTGCCAACGAGGATTATTAGACAAAGCTCCATTAATCAGAACGTGGGCTTTGTTAAAAGTGAAGCAACTCTAATCAGAAATATCGCGATACTCAGAATATT